CGTTCGTCGTTCCCTTTCGCCGCCGTTCACCGTTCGTTCTCCTCCACCGTTACGGTAAATCCGCGACTGTTACGGCATTTTTATGGATTATTGTCTTAGTATTGCATTTTTCTGGATTAGATGATGTTAGTGCTACTTCTTTCTGAGTTATTGACTTGTTTTTGTTGATACCATTGATGAGCATTACTCTTTTGATATTGGCTTGAATTTTGTATGCAAGGTGTTTGTTGAAATTCCACCATTTTTGAGAGTATGATTTAATAGTTTAGAATAGTTTAAAATCATATTAATGAAATAGTTTAGAATAATTTAGAATAATTTAGTCCATTTCCACCATTTATGAGAGTATGCTTTAATTTAGTCCATGTCATTTTGAGCATTATAAAATAGTTTAGAATAGTTTAAAATCATATTAATGAAAGTATGCTTTAATAGTAGAATAGTTTATTATAGTATATCTACTTTTTTTTAATATGATTTGTTTTGTTGGATTATCTAGTTTTTTTGTTTTGATTAATTATTAATATGATTTTAATAAAATGTATATATTGTCTGTTATAGGGGTTACCTGAGAAGAGCAAGGTTGTGATTGTTTCCAAGCATCCTACTGTACAACTTTCTTAGAAGTTAGTGATTTCTTTACAGGTATTCTCTATTTTTGCCTAACTTTCATAGTATGGATAAAAATTGGATGTCTGTTAATCGATTGTCAAAAGAGTACGAGAATGGGGTATCGAACTTCGTTAAGTTTGCTGTTGAACACGCCAAAGACCCCAGTAGGATCACATGTCCTTGCTTAGGTTGCTGTTATGGGCGTCGAATTGACGCGGTTCAGTTGGAATCTCATTTAATGAGACATGGAATTGATCGAAGTTACACATGTTGGACATTACACGGTGAGATAAGTAACGAGAATGTTGAACCCCAGAACAATACGACCTCTACTTCAAAGGACAATGGTAGGGATACATACGATTGTGATCGAGTCGAAGATATTGCAGAAGCACTTGAAGAAGATCTTAAAGATTGTCCAAAGATGTTTGAGAGGTTGGTAAGCGATGCAGAGAGGCCGTTGTATAAAGGTTGCACTACTTTCACAAGATTGTCTGCGGTATTAAAGTTGTACAACTTAAAGGCGGGTAATGGATGGTCGGATAAAAGTTTCACAGAGTTGTTAGCCCTACTTCAAGAGATGCTTCCGGAGGATAATGTTCTTCCCAATCGAACCTATGAAGCTAAAAAAATGTTATGTTCTATTGGTATGAGCTATGATAAGATACATGCTTGTCCAAATGATTGCATTTTGTTTCGAAATGAGTATGCATCATTAAACGAGTGTCCTAAATGCGGTGTATCTCGGTATAAGAAAAAGTTGTCACCAGCAAAAGTCTTATGGTATTTTCCTATAATTCCGAGATTCAGACGCATGTTTCATAGTGAAACAGATGCGAAACACCTTACTTGGCATGCAGATGATAGAATTATAGATGGGAAGTATCGACATCCGGCAGATTCACCACAGTGGATGAAAATTGATAATGATTATCCTAATTTTGGAGAAGAAGCTAGAAACCTTCGCTTGGCATTATCGACTGATGGAATGAATCCGCACGGTCTGCAAAGTATCTCCCATTCCACCTGGCCTGTAATTCTTATGAATTATAACCTACCTCCATGGCTATGTATGAAGCGTAAGTACATGATGTTATCTATGTTAATTTCTGGCCCTAAACAACCAGGAAACGACATAGACGTATACTTGACACCTTTAATCGAAGACTTAAAAAGTTTGTGGGAGAACGATGTGGAGGTTTATGATGGATATAGGAAAGAAAGTTTTAATTTGAGGGCCATGTTGTTTGGCACAATTAATGATTTCCCAGCATACGGAAATCTATCGGGGTATAGCATTAAAGGTCAATGTGCGTGTCCTATCTGTGAAGAAAACACAGATTGGACGCGGTTGGAATTTGGTCAGAAGAATGTCTTTCTTGGTCATCGTAGATTCTTAAGTTCTAATCATCAGTACCGTGGGTGGAGACAAGAATTCAATGGAAATTCAGAACAACGTAGAGCACCACCTACATTGACCGGCGATCAAATTTTTGCAAAGGTGAAAGATGTGAGTACTCAGTTTGGCAAGCCTTTTGCTCATACGCTTACCACGCGTGGGTGGAAGAAGAGGTCAATTTTGTTTGAGTTGCCGTATTGGAAGTCGTTGTATGTACGACATTTTCTTGATGTTATGCATATTGAAAAAAATGTATTTGAAAGTGTTATTGGTACGTTACTCAATATACAAGGAAAGTCTAAGGATGGCCTTAAAGCAAGAAAAGACTTGGTAGCAATGGGAATAAGAAATGAATTAGGACCCCAGAAGAAAGGAAATCGCACTTATCTACCACCTGCTGCATATACTTTGTCTAGAAAGGAGAAAAAGATAATGTGTAAGTTTCTGAGTGAAGTTAAAGTTCCAGAAGGATACTCTTCAGATATTAGAAGACTTGTTTCTATGAAAGACCTAAAGTTAAAGAGTTTAAAGACACATGATTGCCATGTTCTTATGGAACACTTTCTACCAATAGGTATACGTTCTATTTTGCCAGAAAAAGTGAGAGGCGCAATAACAAAATTGTGTTTCTTTTTCAGATCTATTTGTAGTAAGGTGATCGATCCTGCGATCTTACCAACATTGCAAAAAGATATAATTATTACTTTGTGTGAGCTTGAAATGTATTTTCCTCCGTCATTCTTTGACATAATGGTACATCTAGTTGTGTATCTCGTGAAAGAGACACAACTGTGTGGACCTGCATATATGAGATGGATGTATCCAGTTGAACGTTATATGAAAATATTGAAAGGGTATGTGAAAAACCGAAGTCGACCAGAGGGATGTATTGTTGAACGATACATTGTTGAAGAAGCTATTGAGTTTTGTACTGAATATTTGTCCAACGTTCAATCCATTGGCCTCCCAAAATCTGATGTTGTTGAAAAAGTAGTAGGTAAACAGTTAATTGGAAATAAAGTTGTGACAGTTTCAAGGGATGAACGGGAGCAAGTGCATTTATATGTTCTGCACAATGACATTGAGGTTGAGCAGTACGTTAAATTGCACAAGGACGTTCTCCGAGGTTTAAATCTGAATAGAAATGAAAATTGGATAGTACGTGAGCACAATCGAAGTTTTATAACATGGTTCAAAGAGCATATTTATTCAAAGTTTTATTCTGATCCCGCTTCAATAACAGAAAGGTTGAGATGTTTAGCATATGGTCCAACTTTGCATGTGTTTTCTTATAGCGCATACGCAATTAATGGATACACATTTTATACCAAGGAGCAAGATGATAAAAGTACAATGCAAAATAGTGGTGTCACTGTGCTTGCCGAATCAATGCACATTTCCTCGTATTTTGGGGTAATCGAGCGCATTTGGGTGTTTGATTATGAGAAGTTTCAGATTCCTATCTTTGGATGCAAGTGGGTTGAAAGTAATAGTGGCATACGTATGGATAAGTCAGGTTTTTTGCAAGTGGATCTTAATAAGGTGGGGTACAAAGATGAGCCTTTTATTCTAGCCACACAAGCTAAACAAGTGTTCTATGTCACTGATCCGAAAAGTACGAAATGGTTTATAGTTCTTTTTTCCAACAAAGTAATCAACGATAACATTGGAGAAAAGGGGGAGGTTGATGTTGAGAATGAATCTTATGTTAGGGATGATCCAGATGAGAATATTATAGCAGACGAATCATATATTAGAAATGATCATAGCGAGGGAATTTGGATCAATCCATCCGTCCGTGTTGTTAAGAGACAAGTAAAGCACCTTCGAACTAAAAAAAGAAAAAGATGTTAAAGGTACTTGTAAAATTACATATTGTCTCATTCAATAAAATAACATATTATTTCTTATTTATACGTTTCTTATGTGTATATATATATATTTCTTATTTACATATTTGAATGTCATTCATTTGATACTTTAGTTTTCCTGAATTACAGGTATATTATGGCCAGCAATAAAGATTGGAAGAAATTAAAGTAGAATTGTATAATTTGTGATGTTGAATTTCGAGTTGAGAATTGTATATAATTTGTGATGTTGAATTGTGAAGCTTTTGAATTATATATATTAAAGTGGAATTGTATATAATTTGTGATGTTAAATTGTGAAGCTTTTGAATTATATATATTAAAGTGGAATTGTATATAATTTGTGATGTTGAATTGTGCATATAATGCCAAAGTGTTGAATTGTGCACATAATGCCAAAGTGTTGAATTGTGTATATAAAGCCAAAGTGCTGAAATAAAGGGCTAAATTATATAAGCAGGTATTGTAATATAAGCAGGTTTATTGAAAAATATATAAAAAATGCCATTAATCAGGAATTTTTTTTTTCAAAACGTGCACATTAGACAGCGCTTTTATGTATAAGCGCTGCTAAAGGGGACAGAGAAACTGCTAAAAAAGCGCTGTTATAGGTGGGGAAAGAGGGGTCTAAGATAGCGCTTTCATAAAGCGCTGCTATAGGGGGGGTCTAAGACAGCGCTTTAATAAAGCACTGCTAAAGGGGGGGAGGGGGGGAGATTAGGCAGCGCTTTAAAAAGCGCTGCTAAAGGGGTAAAAAAGCGCTGCTAAAGGTGATGTCTTTAGCAGCGCTTTTTCCACAAAAAAAGCGCTGCCTTTACCTTTAGCAGCGCCACTTTAGGCAGCGCTTTAAAGCGCTGCTAAAGGTCAAAAAAAGCGCTGCTAAAGGTCTGTTTTGGCATAGTGATAGTGGTAGTCCTCCTTCTATTCCAAATCAACAAAGTAATCCATATTTTAGAAATACACCTTTTATCTCAAATCCACACCATAATCCAAATTTTCAAAACTCACCTTTTATCCTAAATCCACAAAATAATCCACACTTTGGAAATTACTCATATCATCCACCACCTTATCCATATCAATATCAACAATTTACATCTCAATCAACTAACCCCATTATGCCTCATGGGGCTCAAATAGGTAGTAGTGATGCGCAACCAAATGATCAAGAAGATGAAACACCATAATTTTGCACTCAAGGTAGCTTAGAAACAGTTAACCTTGGTGAAGAAGTTGCATCCGTACGTGTTGTGAATACGCATAAACAAAGGTTCCAACAAAAAGAGGATGAAATTCTCATTCAATCATGGCTCAATGTTTCAAAAGATTCAATTGTTGGGGTTGATCAAAAAGGAGATAGTTTTTGGAAGCGGATCGGTGAAGCTTACAACAAGCATCGTGACATTAACTACAAAGAGAGGAAACCGACGCAACTAAAATGTCGATGGCATAAAATCAATCCATATGTTCAAAAGTTTGTTGGATGCTACAAACAAGCTGTGTCTACACAACAAAGTGGGAGTTCCGAGAGCAATATCATGCAAGCTGCATATAAAATCTATTTCCAAGATGAAGGTGAAAAGTTTACTTTTGAAGCTGCATGGAGATTATTGAAAGATGAACCTAAATGGCTCGCAGGTTCATCAAAAGCTTCTACAAAAAGAACAAAGAATTCAGCTTCAGGAGCATATTCTTCATCTTCTAATCCACAAATGAGCAGCGAACACGATCCATCATCACCTACTTTGTCTCGCCGTCCAATCGGTCAAAAGGCAGCCAAAAGGAAGGAGAAAGAAAAGCTTATGGAAATGTCTTCTACTCCCAATGTCAAATATGATTCTTTGAAAGATGACTTTAAAAAAAAATTTGATCTGATGTCAATGTTTGCACGGGACTATGCACGCATTGAGGGTGAAAAAGTTGAGATAGAGAGAAAAAAAGGTTGATGCAAAGATTAAGAAGGCTGAGAATGCTAAGGAGAGATTGAAGATGAATGATCTGCAAATACTCTCAAAAGATACATCAAATATGGATACAAGACAACTACAAGCTCATGATATGTTGTGCGACATGATTAGAGAAAAATATGGACTTAATTAGTATGATTATGTATTTTAGGCTTAATTAGTAAGATTATGTATTTTGGGATTAATTAGTAAGATTATGTATTTTTGGCTTAATTAGTAAGATTATGTATTTTGGGATTAATTAGTAAGATTATGTATTTTAGGCTTAATTAGTAAGATTATGTATTTTGGGATTAATTAGTAAGATTATGTATTTTGGGATTAATTAGTAAGATTATGTATTTTGGAATTAATTAATATGGACTTAATTAGTATGATTACGTATTCAAAATCAAATTAGCCGTTATTCAAACTAGCCGTTATTCAAAGTCAAACTAGCCGTTATTCAAAGTCCAACTAGCCGTTATTCAAACTAGTCGTTATTCAAAGTAGTCTTATAAATAGTATTAACATCTTGCATTTTTTACAATTTGTTATCATCTTCTACTAAATATCAAACTTCTTTTCACATGGATCCTTCCAATCCTTCCCACATTGCAAAAATGTTTATGGATTATATGAATGATGACATGGATGAAGAACTTGTGAGGTTGTTTATGGAAGAAGAAGCCTCGAGCTCTAGAAGGCCTAGGCGTCAAAGAAGGAATATAGAGAGGAATCGTGAAGAGGGACATGAACGATTGTTCAAAGATTATTTTTCAGAAACTCCGGTATACACAAATGAGCAGTTTCGTAGAAGGTACCGAATGCATAAACATGTGTTCCTTCGTATTGTTGAATCTCTAGGTCAACATGATGAGTATTTTCGAATGATGGTTGACGCAATAGGTAAGGCAAATCTTTCACCATTACAAAAATGCACTGCTGTTATCCGTATGTTGGCATATGGAATATCTGCTGATAGTGTGGATGACTATTTGAGAATTGGTGAAACCACGACACTAAAATGTGTTTATAAGTTTACACGAGGAGTGATCAACATCTTTGGTGCACAATATTTGCGAAGGCCAAACGCCGAAGACATTGAACGCTTAATGCAAATGGGAGAGGCACGGGGATTTCCAGGTATGTTAGGGAGCATTGACTGCATGCATTGGGAATGGAAAAATTGTCCTGTTGCATTGAAAGGACAATATGTTCGAGGCGATCATGGGAAACCAACTGTTATGCTTGAAGCAGTGGCTTCACAAGACTTATGGATTTGGCATGCATTCTTTGGGGTAACGGGTTCAAACAACGATATTAATGTGTTGAACCAATCCAATGTCTTCAACGATGTTCTGCAAGGACGAGCTCCCGAGGTTCATTATACAATCAATCGTACTGAATACAACAAGGGCTATTATCTATCAGATGGTATTTATCCTGAATGAGCCACGTTTGTAAAAAGTATCTCGATGCCACAAAGGGATAAGAGAAAATTGTTTGCCCAACATCAAGAAGGGGCAAGAAAGGATATTGAACGAGCATTTGGAGTTCTTCAATCCCGATTTGCAATCATACGTAATCCAGCACGATCTTGGCACTTAGACACACTCCAACGCATAATGAATACATGCATCATATTACACAACATGATTGTTGAAGATGAACGTGCAACATATGGTGGAAATTTTGATTTTTCTTATGATCATTTGAGTAATGATGCGACAATATTGTCGAACGATTCTAATATTGATTTTCAAGAGTTCATGCATAGAAGATTTGATATTCGTGATAAACAAGTTCATCGACACCTTCAACAAGACTTGATAGAACATATATGGCAACGTTATGGACATGAGAATAACAACAATTGAAAAATATTTTAAATATATATTTTTATTGTATTTTGTGCTAGTAACTTATTTTAATAATGTATTTTTAAATTAATTATCACACACATATATTTTTATTGTATTTTGTGCTAGTAACTTATTTTAATAATGTATTTTTAATGTATTTTTTAATTAATTATTTGTGTGATGTATTGTGTTTTTTAATATATAATTTTTTAAATTATATAATTTTTTAATGTATTTTGATATATTTCAATTAAATTGTTTTAATTATTTATTTATATAATTAAAATGTTGGATATATTGTGAGATTTGGTGGGACCCATTTTAGAGTTTTAGATGAGTTGCATGGATATTTGAAAAATGTAGTTGGGTTGTTTAGAAAATATTAAAGTGAAATATAATATAAAAAATTATGTAGACCCCATCTAAAGAACCAAAGTGGGGATAATGAGTGTGGATGCTCTAAGAGCATAAATATCAATGTCATGTCATGGTTCCTTCACAAAAACCAAAACTTTTTTATGAGAAATTGATGGATATTTGAAAATTTTAACTGTCATTTAATTTGCCAACGTTGTTCTGCAAGAGAACGTTTCTTAATTAAATGTAGGGTATTTGGTGGGACCCATTTTAGAGTTTTTGATGGATTGTATGGATATTTAAAAAATATACTTGAGTTGTTTAGAAAATATTAAAGTGGAATATAATATAAAAAATTACGTGGACCCCATTTAAAGAATCAAAGTGGGGATAATGAGTGTGGATGCTCTAAACTAACTCACTTTTCCACCTATTTTTTAAACTAATCAACTTTTAAAAAATAAAATTTAACAAATAGAAGTCGTCAATCCAATTGACGACAGTGTACAAACACATAAGAGCAGTCGTCAATCTAATTGACAACAATGTACATTCTCTCTTCTCTGTGTTTGTACATTATCGTCAATTGGATTGACGACTGCTCTTATGTCTTTGTACACTGTTGCCAATTGGATTGGCGCCGACTCTTTATTGAATTTTTTTTTTGTTGAAAGTGAGTTAGTTTGAGAAATAAGTGAAAAAGTGGGTTAATTTGGATATTTATTTGAAAAAGTTATTTGAATAAAATTTTCTCAGTTCAATGTTTTAAAAGTCGGATCGAACTGACCGGTTTAACCGGTTGAACTGGAAATCGGAGATAAATTTGGTTGGGTTAACCTTTCAAAATCATTAGTGGGTTAAAACCAGAGTAAAATCGGAAAAACCGTATTGAACCGTCAAAAACCATTCGAACCAAATAATCGGAGCTAGTTTTGTAAAACCGTTCGGTTCAAGAAAGTGCATCAAATTGGATATTTTTTTTATAATTTCTTTTAAAAGTTTAATATGTCAATATCAAAACTTAACACACATTTCTCAATTACAAAAAAGAATTCTGTTTTCTTTTACAATCATATAAACTTTTAAGTTTTTTCATGTTATTGTCGTTCGAACATAGTCACGTTGTTCAACTCAATATTGATTGTTTTTCAAGTTAATATTGTTTGTTGTTATCAATTATGACTTGTTTGTCGTAGTTAAACTCAAATTCGCTTTTTAGTATTTTTATTTTTTTATTTTATCTTATTTAATTTAAGTATTCTTAATCATTTGAACATTATTTTAGTTATTATATATTCTATTGTTTTAATATTTGTTTAACTTATTTTATTGTAACTCTTAAAAATTTTAAAATTATTCTTAAATGAAGGTTGAAATGAGGTTTACGGTTATGTTATATGAATATACTTATTATTGATATTGTTATATTAAGTTTGTAATAAATTTTTAAAATATTTATTTTATTAAGTTGATAATATATGATTGTGTGTGATATATCTATGAAATTTAGTTTCGTATTATTAGTTTATTTAATAAATTGTTCAATCGTGAATTTAACTGGTTGAACTAATTGAACCTTAAAGCAGAAGTTTCACCGATTTGATCTCGGGTCCGGTTTTTAAAACATTGTCTCAATTAACCATAGTTAAATATTAGAAGAAATTTGATTTTTATTTTAACCGCGTATAAAATAATGTAAATGAATGATGGTGATGAATTGATCTCACAAACCTATGTTTGTTTGAGTTTTTTTAAATGATTTTTATTGTATTACATATTTTTATTAAAATAATTTATATATTTTTTTTAATATAAGTTTTAAATAAATTTTTTTAAAATAATTTTTTGTTATTTTATTTATTTTATTATTATTATTTTTGCTTAAATAGTCTATTAGTTCTCGTAAGTTAGCGAGTTTTTGATTTTGGTCCATATATCTTTTTTTTATCTGAGTCCCTATTGTAGCGGGAAAATTTGAGATTAAGTTATTGATTAACTTAACTCATAAAGTAAGAGTCGCCACCACACTATTATTTTTCCAAAGGAATGAGGAAAAGAACGAATAAAACCTACATAAATTTTAAAAACAAAACTAATAAAACAGAGAGTCAAAGGGTAAGATGGCTGGTTATGTAATGGGAAGGTGTTAGCATCCAAAACATCTATAGTATTCTATAGGAACCTCTTGAAAATCTATGTTTGACTTAAAATGGTTGTTTGCAAAAGATTGTGCAGATGAGAAGAGAAATATTTTTTAGGGTTTTTGTGTTTGACAAGACTTTCTGAGACTCGTGCCTAGGGTTGTTCACTGTTCAGTTTAGTGAAAAAACCAAACTGAATCAAACCGAACCATAGTAAAAGTTTACTCGAACTGAACCGAAGTGTTTCAATTTACTCAGAACTGAACCTAAGCAAAATAATTGGTTTGGTATACCATTTAGAAACTTCAAACCGTATCGAACCGTTAGAAGGCAATTTTTCCTGAACCGAACTATTTATTAAAGAACTGAACCATTAAATTATTTTTCAATTTTTTTTAATTTAAAAATTATTTTTAGTATTTTTCATTTTCAACTTTGGTTCGGTTTCAGTTTCGGTTCTAGTTTCAGTTCGGTTCTAGAACCATTTTATGCAATATGGTTTAGTTCGCTAACCAAATATAACAGTTCGGTTATTTTAACTTTAGTTCGGTTTGGTTTGGCAGTTCAACTCAGTTCATGGTTTTTTTGAATAGCCATACTCGTGCCTACGTACTCATAAAGTGCAATGGAGGATCAAAACCTCGTAGTTCGTGGTAAAAATAACAACAGAGTTTGTTGCGATTGATTTTAAATGGACAAGATAAGTTGTCATTCTAAGGAGAACACTCAACTAGTCACCCACAAGTGTATCAAAATGGACATTTGCATCCGTTTAAGAAGAGCTTCAACTTGGATTGAAATCAACAAGTATGTCACTAGTTCTCTCAAGTGGAAAAGAATCAACATCAAACATTACTATAGAGATAGGAGAGTTACATCTCAACTATAAAAATGACTCATGTCTAAACCTTAAAAAAAAGTTTAAAAGAAAAGTGCACAAAGGCACAAAATGGTTTGAATGAGTTGCATATTTGGTGTCTTATAAAAATGATCTTGATATGCTTAAGATGTCTTAGCATTTATTTAAGAAAATAGCTTGAAAATCACTTGACAAAGTCAAGGTTTATTAAGAAACTGGTTCAAGTTTGAAAACAAGAAGGTTTTGAAAAAGGGAAAAGATTTTGAAAATTAAGAAAGGGGAAGAGATGAAGATACTATCCTAAAGTACAAAATAAAATTTAAGGAAGGAAAGATCTAACCAAGAGCAAACCTCTTACACAAGTCAAGCCAAAACTCTCATCCTTTGGATTAAGCAACAAGCAACCAAATAAGCAGATAAATAATCAAGCATCAAATAAAGAAGAATTTAAGTCAAGCCCAAAATGAGATAACAGAGCCAAGTCTTCCAAAAGTCAATCCAAGGTCAAGGTTACAGATGAATTCCAAGGTCTTAAGTCACAACTTCAAAGCATAGGATCAAGAACCTAATTCTAAGTCCAAAAGTCCATCATCCAAGTAAGGGATAGTAACCAAATAGTCCAATGGAAACATTAAGTCTTTTAATGTTTTAGCCTTTATTAATGTCTTAAAAGAGAAAAAGAAAGGTTCAAGTGGACAAAAAAAAAAACACATATATAATGACAATAATAAAGATATATATATATATATATATATATATATATATATATATATATATATATATATATATATATATATATATATATATATATATATATATATATATATATATATATATATATATATATATATATATATATATATATATATATATATATATATATATATATATATATATATATATATATATATATATATATATATATATAAGGAGTAAGAAAGTAAATGACAATAAATATAAAGGTGCATAAAAGTAAATGGCATAAAGATAAATGTTATATGGTTAGTACAGTATTAGAATTAGTAATCCAATTCGAGACAAATTTAGCTCTATGTTAAGCAATTGTAGCACAATCTATAAGGAAGATCATACTATGGGAGGTCGGTCAATAACAATTTATGTACCATACATGTTAGAGATATGATAAAGATCATACTTCTAAAACATGTAGCACAAGTAAAAAACTAGGAGGGATCAAACACTAAGGCAAAGAGATTGGTCCATTACATCAATCAATCATTCATGACACTTAGGACAAATTTATGCATCAATTCAAAGTACCTCCAATGATCAATGATCAATCAAATGGTAGATTTGAAATGATGAAAGTTCATCAAGCACCAATCCAAATCTCATGAACAAGATGGACTACACATAATCCAATTAGTCAAGAGAAAATAAAAAAATAAAGAGAAGGAAAGATGAAGAGAGGACCAAATTTAATCACTACTCAAAATCACTTCATCATCAATTTCAATCACCTTTCTTGGTGGATTAAGGTACTAAATCTATCATCAACACAAAGCACCAAAAATGAATGAAATGATTCATCTAATGGTAGATTTGTATTGATGAAGGTTCATCCAACCTCATCTACAACCAAAATCCATTGAGATTGAGGATAAATTTGATAATCAAGTCATGATCCAAGGCTACAA